TAAAATTATATTTTTCTTTTATAGGCGAAGATTTATGGCGTTGGCAATCGAATAATCCAAATGGATTTCAATAGAATCTCATACATAGTATTAATTTAATACATCTGTAGAAGTTAAATTTAAAAAAAAAGAGAATCTCTTTCTATCTATAAACGCATTTAGTCAATATTTACATCTACTTATTTATGATGTTTTAGATGAGTAATATTTACATTCAAGAGCCAGCTACTCGTGGCAAAGTTGTTTTAGATACAACTGTTGGTGATATTGAAATTGTACGGAATTTTGTGTCTTCTTTTTTTTTTTACAAACGGCACTACAAAAGTTTTTTTTTCATCAAGTCTTAGTTCTAGATGTTCGATCGACATATAATTTCATATGATTTTGTACACCGAATCCCTTTAGTCTTCTTATTCTGTATTTTTAATAACTAGAACATTGAACTTATTACGAAATATCCAATCTCAATTGCAACATGTTCACCTATGTAACTAATCGGAATGAAATAGAAGAATAAGATATTTTAGAAAGTTTAGAAGTTCAACAATTGATCTCAATGCACAACATTTGGGAAAGTCGGACTAATCAAAAGAAACACTTTTGTAGTGCCCTATATAATAAATGTGAAATAGTAATATGTTTTTTTTTGTTTTTTAGGAACTTTTCTCTAAAGAATGCCCATTATGGTTATTATGATGGTACAGTTTTTCATCGAGTTGTACCAAATTTTATTGCACAAGGTGGTGATCCAACTGGAACAGGTGAAGGAGGTGAATCAGCAACTGGTGAATTCTTTGCAGTAAATCATTAATTAAATTAAATTTTATTGTTTCTATATAAAAAAAAACAAAAAAACTTTGGGATGAATTTCATACACGTTTACGTTTTAATCGTCGTGGTCTTGTTGGTATGGTTAATCAAGGACCAAATACTAATGCTAGTCAATTCTTTTTTACTTTGGGTAGTACTCCAGAACTTGATAAAAAGAATACATTATTTGGCAAAGTTGTTGGTAATACATTATTTAATATGTTGAAATTAGGTGAAGGAGAAATTATTGGTGAAATACCAGTACATAAACATAAAATAATTAAAGCAGAAGTAAAAAATGAGAGAAAAATTTATAGTTTTAAAAGATTATATTTTATATGTATATAGATTATATCAAATCCATTTGATAATATGGTATCTCGACATCGAGCTAAATCACAAATGATTGATGATGATAATGATGAAATAAATAAAAAGTCGAAAGAAACTGTACAAGCTAAAGCAATCAAGTAGAATTTTTCTATGAAGTTAAAACAAGAATTTGAAATTCTTTGTTTTTTTTTATAATTAGAAATTATGGTCTTCTTTCATTTGGAAATGAAGCTGAAAATGATGAAGAAGAAATAACAAAAATTTCAATGGTATAGATATATTTCATTTGTTTTTTCCTTTCTTAATTTAATATTTTTATAGACATTCAAACAAAAAGGAACGGGAAAAAGTGCACATGATTTAACTAATGATTCAACATTAAGTAAAAATACAGTTGTATTAAATGAAAATAATGAAGAAAGTGATGAAGAATTACCTATAGAAAAACAAAATTTTAAAATAAAAGAAAAAAGTGATCCAGATTTTGATAAAGAAGAACTTGATCGAGTACGACAAAAATTTAATGTAAAAAAATTAGCTCAGCAAGAAAAGAAGAAAAAAACACTTCAACTTGGTATTGATGATGATGATGATAATCAAAAAGAATTTCATCAACAAAATCGTAAATATCAAATACAACAAAAATATTTTGATTGATTTAGTATTGTCTTTTTTTTTGATAGAAATGAAAATGTTAAACTTGAAATTGAACGATTAAAAAAAGAATTGAAACAAACAAAAAAGTCATCATCAGCATCCACACCCAAATCATCAGAAAATGTCGTTCAAGTAGAAACAGAACATAAGTATTGTTTAATGATATTTAGTATATCCTAAGAATTCCAGTTTGAACGGATAAATCCATTCGAAAGTATTGAACTTTTTTTCGGTCTTACCAAGATCTATTTCATATTTCAAGGATGCATGAGGATATTCATCCTATTTTTAACTGACAATCATATTTTATGAGTTTATTTCAAATTTAGCTGCACCCTCATCTATTCAACCAGTTATCTCAAGTATTATTACATTAATGGATGAATTAATGGCAGGTACAAGACGAAACAATAAAAAAAATCATAGTAGTCATTCAAATTCAAGAGAATCTCAAGTTTGTTCATCAGTTATTTTTGTACTGAATAAAATATTCGAATTCAATTTTTTAGACACTTGATTTATTAGAAAGATTTCGTGTAAAAGTTCATACTGCTAATGATGAACAAATTAGTGAACCTTTAAATGAAACACAATCAGAACAAATAGCTGATAAAGTTCAAACACCATTTTTAAAACATACTTTTGTATCTCAAGAATTATTAGATAATGTTCAAGATATTTATACGAATGCTGAATTATTAACTGTTTATGATCCAAGAAATCCAATGACTAAACGACGACGAGATGAAAGTAGTATGTTACTTCATCAAAAAAAACATAAAGGACGTACGGTACACCGACAGTTGAGCCCTCGACAGTTGAGCCCCGACAGTTGAGCCCCGACAAATGAGCCCCCGACAAATGAGCCCACCGACAGTTGAGCCTACCGACAGTTGAGCTCCCGACAAATGAGCTCCCGACATTTGAGCCTCATAGGAGAAACAAATTAAAGAAATAGAAAAATTTATTTTATATTAATATCAAAAATTAAAGAGAGCTCTTGCTCTTTTGAAATAAATATCTGTTGGTATGACGTAAAATGTTGAAGCTAGTATCTGTAATTTTTCATCAATAAGTTCATATTTGACTCGTTTTTTTTGTTTTACTAAATCAGCTTGAGCATGCCTTAAAGGTGCAGTCGCTGTGCCAATGCTCACTGTTGGATAAACGATTAAGATCATCGTCAGAAGATAATATTATTAAACGTCTACTAGGATCTTGATTGTCGTACAATAGAAAACGTGCACCACCATTAGTTATTTGTAATTCATCAGGAATTACGATTTCAGTGTATATCAGTGGTCGTGGTAAAGGTATGTCATTCCTTTGTCTTTTACGTTCAATTGTTCTTTGTGATGAATGATATGTTGATACAGCTGCACCATCATTTTTATCAACATTGTGTAGTGTTTCATAAGTTATACGACGTGGAGGATCATGAGATGTTGTTGCACTGGTTGTAGTTTTTGATTTAAATTCAGCTGATATAGTTGCTTCCGGGTTGGGTGCATGTACATGTTCTGTTATTTTATTATATTGATCACCATCAAAAGCAACACGACCAGCACAATCGTTTCTCGAGCAGCGCCATATTCTTTGTGATTTATTTGCACGACGATAAGAATAACCTTCGAGTAAAAGTTTATCGTGTCCTTTGGAAGACTTGACAATTGACATTATGTACTGATAATCAAATTAGATGAACAACAATGAGAATCAAACGAATACAAGAAATATCGAAAAAAAATAAATCGAACAACTTTTTCGTCTTATTACTTTTGATTGGCCCGCTAGAGAAGTTAGATATAAACGAATTTCTGGAACCATAAGATGTCACATGTTTACACTTTTTTTTAATATTGAACCACTAATTTATCTAATATTAATTTTTCTATTTCTTTAATTTGTTTCGCCTATGAGGCTCAAATGTCGGGAGCTCATTTGTCGGGAGCTCAACTGTCGGTAGGCTCAACTGTCGGTGGGCTCATTTGTCGGGGGCTCATTTGTCGGGGCTCAACTGTCGGGGCTCAACTGTCGGGGGCTCAACTGTCGTGTTGCCAGGACGTACATAAAACAATGTTGTTGTTGTTGTTGTTTTGTTCATCTGTGTATTATGTAATTTCTTTTCTTGATAATATAAAATAAATCGTTCCATAAAAAATGTCATAAAAAGAAAGGAATTATTTTTCTTTATTCTATTCAGATAAATTATGCAACATTCATGTTCACATACATGTCAACATGTTGATGAAACAAATGTTGGTCGATGGAATTTATATACAAAAATTGATAAATATAATTTACAATGTTATAATGAAAAACATGATAGTTCAGGTAAAGATGTATTTCGAGCATGAGAAGAACGACTTGATCGATCAAAATTATATTTTGTATTTGATTTATTCAAATAAAATATTATGGATAGGTTCTTTTTTAAAGGTAGTTGAAAGTGATGATGAACAAGAATTACTTTTCAGTATACCATTTAATGGTGCTCTAAAAATAACTGGTCTATGTGTTATTGGTGAAAATGATCCATCACATCCAAATACAGTTAAATTTATATGTGGATATATCTTCTTCTACATGCAATAATGTTCAGTGTCTGTCTGTCTGTCTGTCTGTTTCTCTGCGCCGGGTCAAAGGTCAAAGGTCAAATAAGACTCTAAGGGAGAGATCTCTAGGGCCTATTTTATGGGGTACTTATAGATCTTCACGGGCTATCCTATGGGAGTACCCATAGGTTCTCCAGAGCTATCCTAAGAGGGTACCTATAGGTCCTCCAGGGCTATTCTATGAGGGTATCCATAGGTCCTCAAGGGCTATCCTATGGGGGTACCTATACCTCCTCCAAGGCTCATCTATCAGGTACCCACAGGTTCCCAAGTGCTATCCTATGTGGGTAGCCATAGGTCCTCCAGGGCTACCCTACGGGAGAACGCATAGGTCCTCCAGGGCTACCCTATGGGGATACCCATAGCTCCCAAGTGCTATCCTATGGGGGTACCTAAAGGTCCCCAAGGGCTATTCTATGGGGGTCCCATAGGTCCTCCAGGGCTATGAGATGGCGGTACCTATAGATCCACAAGGGGACCCTACGGGGTACCGATAGGTCCCCAAGTGCTATTCTATGGGGGTACCCATAGGTCCTTCAGAGCTATCCTTTGAGGGTACCCATAGGTCTTCAAGGGCTATCCTATGGCGGTACCCATAGGTCCTCAATGGCTATTCTATGTGGGTACCCATAGGTCCTCAAGGGCTATTCTATGGCGGTACCCATAGATCCTCAAGGGCCATCCTATGGGGTACCCATAGGTCGTCAAGGGCTGTCCTATGGGGGTACCCATAGGTCCTCAAGGGCTGTTTTATGTGGGTACCCGTAGGTTCTCAAGGGCTATTCTATGGCGGTACCCATAGATCCTCAAGGGCCATCCTATGGGAGTACCCATAGGTCCTCAAGGGCTATTCTATGGTGGTACCCATAGATCCTTAAGGGCCATCCTATGGTGGTACCCATAGGTCCTCAATGGCTATTTTATGTGGGTACCCATAGATCCTCAAGGGCCATCCTATGGGGGTACCCATAGGTCCTCAAGGGCTATTGTGCCAATAGGCATATTATCTTATATGATATCTTTTCTTTCTCAGTGTGCTCTTGTGATATCAATGATATGCTGTGTTCTTAATCGCGTTCCTCTTACGTTTATCTCTATATGATGAAACCTTGTTCCTGTCTGTCGTAATGCTCTTCTCATTCAATTGTATATCTGTTCTCTCCTTGGCATCATTACTTGTTCATTCGTACATTGTTGTATCTTTGGCTTCATCATCTGTCTTCGCATCATTTCCTATTCTACTCATACATACAAACGTGTCCTTCATATGTAAACGATATGGTGGTATGATGTGCCAAGAAGCACGTCATCTTTGCTATTTATGCTAATTGTTATTACGTCATAGGACACTAACGTACACATCTTCTCCATGTCATTGGATTATCAAGGGTGACATAAGAAGATGGACGTCCTTTCTATAACAACTGTTGACTAATCTTATAATGCGTAATATTCTATTATATCTTTCCTCTTTTCTTTCTCCTTTTTTGTATTGTAATATTTATTCTCTCTTCTCTTCCATCCTATGTAAGCTCATGTTGTGTATTAGATTGTTACATTTGGATGTAGAGCATAGTCGAATAAACATCATGCCCATCACAATGGGATCAAAGACATAAATAGGCCTCTCCATTTGTCGTTAACGGAGATATGTATATACTTTATATAAATATATATCTATATTTTTCGTTATAGCTATCCTATGGGGGTATCCATAGATCTTCAAGGGCTATTCTATTCCGGTACCCATAGATCCTCAAGGGCTATTCTATTCCGGTACCCATAGATCCTCAAGGGCTATCCTATGGGGGTATCGATAGGTCCCCAAGGGCTATTATATTGTGATACGCATAGGCCCTGAAGGGAGTAGGGCAATAGGGAGATAAGGCTACAAGGAATATAAGGCTGAAGGCTGCGTGGACTACAGAAATATGTGCGATATGAGAGTATGAGGTCGTAGGGGAGCCTTTCTATATTCATAATATCGAGTGTCTGTATGTATTTTACCGGATGAAAGGTTAAATGTCTGGGGTCATACATTAAAGGAGAAAACAGCCGTGCAGTATGCACGGGTTCTCGCTAGTTATTTCAATAAAGTAGGGGTTATGATTTATATATATATATACATATGAATAGATGGAGTAATTTACCTGAATTACGTTTTGATAATACTCGTGGAAAAGCTCATCAAGAAATTTCGCTTACATATGATCCATCGGGTACATTAGCTTATCAAGTCAAGTGAATATGTTTATTCTTTGAAAAAATTTTTAATCAAATATGTATTTTAGTCCATCACATTTTTCACGTGTAACACATTTATCTTTATATTTTCCTTCGAATTTCGGCGATGAAACAACTCGTATTTACTATATTGGTCTTCGTGGTGAATATCTTGGGGTGAGTGAATGTTATATTTCAATACGATTCTGTATGATTTTTTTCGTGTGTAGGAAGTAAAATCTAAAGTAGTCATTACAACGTATGAAGCTAGACCACAATTAAAAGATCACAAAGTGGATGATTTTTTAACAGGCAATCGTGAAATACAATAAACTAATGCTATTTTTTTTTTTTATATTAAACTTGAAAAAAGTTTCTAAAATAAATGTTCACCTTGATTGAATTTGTTGTGCTCAAGTCTGAAAGATAAAGATTTTATTAAATTTTGTTTTGAAGAGCGAAATCTAGCTTTTGTACATTATTTCAAATAATTTTTAAAATTAATGATAAAAATCTCTCCTTCCTCATACAGACATCAACCTAAAACTATTCAACAGTTTCCTTGACTAGGGTGTGGGTGTGGGGCCCAGAACGAGCATTACGGCGCCCAGAAACGGCCGTTTACGTCCGCCTATACTGCGGGTATACGGCCGTATCTTCGCCGTATTTCGTGGGACCGTATTACAGCCGTATTTCGCCGATCTTATCAGGACGAACTTTCTCTCATATTATAACAACAACACATCGGCATGCTCGCGTAAATCCTAGGGTTATCAAGGACCCAGGTCAAAAAAGCACTATCGTAAACGGTCGTATACGACGAAAT